CAAGATATGACGATTTAGAATGACTGAGGAATCCATCATTAAACGTTGTTGTCAAATCTAATGATGAGCGTTAATTCAGAAGAATAATCCGGTGCTGAAGCGGCCTGACGTGCGTCAGCATTCACAGAAAACAGGTCAAAAAGAGTAAAAAAATAAACACAAATGCAAGTAATAAGTGAAAAGTGCACTACGGAAAACATAGAACATCATTCAATAAGTAAGATAAAGTAAAAAGGAACCATGAAAAGACGGCCTTTGGATTCCGTCATCCACGGTTGAAAAGTCCCTTTAGAGTAAAATAAGCGTTTGAAGACTAGAATGAATAGAAAGTGTAAACATGCAGCACACTAAGGGACGAGCGCAGGCTTGTTTCGGGGCCCAGCACAGCATCCATCTATCGCCGGATGCTGAAAGGGACTTTAAGATATCGACTTATTTATTTATTTAACATTGAAGCTGGTGACCGTGATGAATGACAGAACAAAAGAATCCCACGAAACGCCTCCTGAAGACTTCAACGAACGGGACTCACTCCTAAAAAACAACAACATCTGCCCCTTTTATAGAGGAGAGTTAGATTCTAAAAACAATGCACATACATAAATAAATAAATAAAAAGAAAACAACTCTGTGATAATTTCCCAGACAGGTCTCGGTGGCGGCCTTCTGCAGCCCTTTGGAGACGCATGAACCGCGATGCCGGGTGTCGGGGCGCCGCCATTCCACTGCAGATGTGTTATTTTATTTTATTTTGAAGGGTTGCGGGGGAAAGTGCGGGAGGTCACGATGGAACGGCCGACGACACAAAAACCCATTTAAAGTAGAATGAAAAAAAATCAAAAATCCATGGAGTCCCCAGTCAGACAGACCGATGGAGGCAGCGCACCGCGCACTGTAATTGGAAAATGTTTTTTCTCTGTCAATCACACCGGTATGTTTTCTCGCCATGTTTTCCTTTTTTTTTGATTTTTTGGAACGCATGAAGAGCAGAAGAGGTCAGAGCCAATGATTGGATTAGAGATTCAAAATATTTGGTACAAAAACATCTCCAGGGGGGGAAATTTCACCAGCATTATTTTCTCTAAAATGAACCGTGGAAAAAAAAAAAAAAAAGAAGGGGAGAAAACATGAGCCTCCCTCCTTTGCAGGGGGGGGTTCTTAAATCAATAATATGAACACAGCTCCGGGCTACAGCGGGAATATTCATAGGTTTTCAGTTCAGGACGTAGAAAAGCTCCTGAAAAAAATAAAAAGTAGAGGATACACTAATCACCATGGCAACGACCCGACTCACACCGTGATAAACAAAGCGTCGACATCTTCCAGTCGGGATGAGAGACGCATCTCAACACCAAAATCTCTTCCGAGTGATGCATATCTTAAAAACATCTTAATTAGGACCAGCAGATGTCAGGAGGTAAACGGACAGAGTACGTAAACAAACACGTGTGATCGAGTGGGACTTCTTCTGCTTTCGTTAGTGAGAATCGCGTGAGCAGCAGTGACATTTTCCTGGAGCCGTGATCGGGCTTATTGACAGGAGTTAAATAACGACTTCAGCTGCGACTCCTTTTCCTTCCGCACTCGTTCATCATCCAGAGCACACAAACCTCTCTGGACCATCGCCAGGCATTTTGTTGCAGTCCAATGATTATGCAGCCTGGGCTCAATCTCCACCTGCAACCAACACCGCCATCCCTCAACCTCCTCCTCCTTCTGACTCACAGCCGGGGAGCGCACACACAAACACAGACATGATTATCTAATAGACTGCGGGAGGATAACTGCATAAAGCAATCAATAGCACCTCATTAGGAGGCCCGTTTTGGAGAAAAGGTCAATCTCGCCGCCCATCGGTCCGTTCGCCGCATGTGTTAAGAGGGAAACATCATTTGGCTTGAATGCCGAAATGAGTTTACCAAAGAGCGGCTCAGAAGTGGAGCGTTTATGGGGAGACGAGACATCCAATTCGGGGACATTACGGTAAAGTTTGGCTCACTAACTTCCTTGAATTGATGCTGCGCTCCGGTTGTTTGGATGCTGCCGCGGGCCTTTTACATTTATAATCAACCTGCACAAACTGCATTCAGACTGGAGGAACCTGCGGAGAGTACAGCTGCAGACACAATATGAGGGTGATTGCAAATGTGTGCTTTTCCAACGCTAATCTCCCCTCCAAATGAGTTTTCCTGCAGTCGAGGGTCGCTTTACTCAGAAATGAGAGAATAAACGTTATTTTCCTCGTTCGCGCGCAGCTTTGCAGCTACTTCTGGTCGTAAAACATCCGTATCCGAGGTGTCTGCCGTGTTTATTTTTCAATAGGAAGGTTTAAAGACGCAACCCGTTAGCCAGAAAAATGTTTTTACATTATGAAAGCAGTGCTTTCTCCCCAACGTGGCTAAAAACTTGGATCCTTTTGTTCAAAACTCAGATTTCAATAATATGGATCTTGTGATACGACCAAGGAGACAAACCTCAAAGATACTTTTACTGGATCTATCAAGAAATACGTCCTCAGAGAGGAGTGATCATGTGCAAGGTGGCACGAGGTCGTATCAGACTGTGTTTCATGCAATGAAGGATTATTTCAACACATTCACCAGAGAGACACTTGCTGCGTATTTTCATTTTATTCCTAGTATAAGAGACATACAATGGTATTCTGTGAGACCAAACTCCTAGTAATTCAAGAGGCGTAGCCTGGAAATCAAACAAGGAACAAAAACATAATACTGAATCAATGAGGCCCCGTCCAGATAGAATGTATTTACACCAAATCAAACACTGATGGAGCGGTTAAGAGGCGGCTGCTCGCTGCTCGCTCCTTATTCCTCACCGGCAGACGAAAAAAAAGGAAAAAAACACCGTAGCTGCCACAATTCCTCGTCTGAAACATCACGGGCGCGACCTTGAATCAAGCTGGATGTGTTATATTTGTTGCTCCCGAGCTATTTAATGCTCTGCTGCCCGTTAATATCCAAATTACCTTCCTCTCTTTTTTTTTTCTCTTCTTCTTCTTCTCCTTTTCACAAAGGTCACGCTCGGCCGTTTTTCCCTTCATTCACTGTGAGTGCCAGTCGCAAACTTAATATCGGGTCAAATGAGTTCTGGGAAGTTTCAATCAATAAAACACCTTTTTCTCAAGATACATTAAATAACGTAGCGGCGCTCTCTCTGAACTCCATCACGGCTCCGCCCGACCGTGAACGACCAACAGCAGAGAGTCCCGGAGACGGATGTTTGCTTGGAGGTGATCGCCTTGCCTCTGAGGGGGGGTAGGGGGGAGTGTGGGGGCTCAGCAAACGTTCCACCCTGGAACCGATCCGAGGGAATCTCAGGTCGTCGGATCAGAGTTCATTGCACGTTTCATTTATTTTACTCCCTCCATGGTAATTAAAGTCTACAGCGGCAACCATCGCATTCCCAGATTAACATTCCTTTTATATTTTGACACGCATCTGCTCGGTGCATCGGCCTCCTGCGATCGACTTCTACAGGTCGGTAGACGGCTTAAGAGGAACTGTGAGGAAACCCAAAGCGATGCTAATGCTACTGCTGAAAAAACTAAACAAAAAAGTGAACAATGGCACCTTTAGGGAAAGTGACACCCAGTGGAAAGTGACATAAGGAGGCAGTGGAACACGGCCGTGTGTGTGTGTGTGTGTGTGTGTGTGTGTGTGTGTGTGTGTGTCGCCAAACTCCAAAAAACAATTCTGCAGGCTCACACTTCTGGGATGAAAAAAAAAGAAAAGACAGACAAAAAAAACAAACAAAGCAAAGAGCAATGAAGGGTTTCATTCCAAAACACTGTATCCATCTAGGGAAGAAGAACTAAAAATATATATATATATACCTGGTGATTTTTAATACTTTCATAACAGAAGACGATTTGTAAAATATCAGTTTGTTAAAAAGAAGAGCTCAATATAATCTAGACGTGTGATAAACTTGAGTGTTACAATCATACTTGCGGTTGTCAGACAACATTTTTTCAACGACAAATATCTCATTCTGGAATGAAACTCTTCAAATATACAATAGATATCGTATGACACATACTGACGACCATAGAAAATGTAACACCCACAATATACTGTAGCATAGTAGCCATCGGAGCCCCTTGCATGGACCCTTACCCCCCATGTCACACACTATTATTAAATAAGGCACACATTTACACATACAGTTAAAATTTGGCTAGTAATTATTCCTTTATTTACAACCAATAGCCACAAAGTTAATAATTAGAATAACTGCAGTCCGTTCTATGTTTTTAGTCTTTTTTACTCGTCGGTCCAAATTATTTCAAAGTATTCAGTTCTTTTGATTTCCGTTTCAGAGGCTGTTTGACCCGCTAGAGATGTGGAGCACCGATCTTATAGAAACATTCTGGAAGGGACCCGATTAGGTCACTCTGGACCTGACGTCTGCTGCGACGGGAAAAGGAAAAACGAGAATAGCTGCTTTTGTTGAGGTGTTTCTTTTCTTTCATCAACGTTCAGTGATTTCGGGCGACTGAGAATGCGTCGATGGAGTGCAGGATTTGGCGTCCCTTAGAGGTGTGTGGGGGGGGACGAGAGGGGGGCGTTTGATATGCCCAAAAGATGAAAGAGTATAGTAAGGCAAAGACAGAACTACTTTCAGGGGAATTTGCTGACTTTTCACCACAGGTTACATATACTGCATATGTATATGTATACATATACGGTGTGGATATAAACACACATATATATACACACACATGCATAATATAAACACATTCGAGGGGGGACGGGGTGACGGGGGCGGGGGGGGGGGGGACTGGTTACCAACACTACATCAGAAAAGATTGAGCAAAAGCATGAATGTAAGCATCGCAGGAGCCTCCAGGCGTTTTGAGTCTTCGAGATGACCGATGTGTAAAGTTCTTCCAACATCGTCGCCCCCCCCCCCCCCCCAAAAAAAAGGCCCTTATAAATTCAAATTTCCTTTTTAAATCCCACTGGGGACATTTGGCAACTAATATTAAGGGGTGGGGTCACCTCACCTGAGTCCGCGGGCCGGTAGTAAGCGAGAAGCTGAGCAATACCAATATGGTACAAAGATATTCGTTGGACAAAAAGAAGAAGAACAAAAAAACGAGTTTGGTGGAGGCTTTCGTCCACGGCGGCGCTGGCTGCCGCGCCACCGGCTTGCTTGTGAAGGTCTGCCACCTCGAGCCCACTGCATTTCTCCAGAAGGGACGTTCCTTCAAGGACACGCGACGCAAGGGAGGCTCCCTCTCGAGTCCAGGAGTGCGCCTCCTCAGTAGTTGAACTTTCCCTGCTGGTTGACGGGGGACGTGGCGGGTATGAACAGGGGCTTCGGAGGGACGTCGGGTTTAAGAGAGGAGGCCCGGCGGACAATGGCGCCCCGGTGTTGGGCCTCCTGCTGCTCTCCGTTGTAGCTGTGTTGGCGCGTCAGGTACCCGTTGGGGATGAGCGGGTAGTGCACCTCGCAGGCGCTGCCCGTCGAGTTCATCCGCGCCAGGAGGGGAGGCGGCTGGTGAGGCCCGCCGTTTCGTTGGCTGAAGCTGTGCTGGCGAGGTATCATTCCTCCTCCTCCTCCTCCTCCACCTCCTCCTCCGTTGGGCATCTTGTTGGCGGCGGCCATTAGCGAGTGCCTCTGGGAGGAGTGCCTCCTCTCCAGGGTGGACTGGTGGTGCGGGGGAATGTCCGGAGGAACATCCATGCGTCGGGTGAGGCTGTCTCGGGGCAACGTGGATGAGCTGTAGTAGGGGGCGGATTCAGTCTCGGGAATCTGAGGTTGGATGCGGTTGGCGAATGCGAGCTGACCGCCGCCACCACAGGCCATCAGGCCCGACGGGCTCATCAACTGGGAGCTGCTGCTGGCCTCGTGGATGTGTTTCAGGAGCTCATCCAGTGAGGTGACCTCCATCACCTTCTGGGAGTAACCAGGGTAAGGTTGCTGAGATAGCACCCGTTCAACGTTGTGGATTTTGCGTTCCTCTGGGTGGAGGTGACCTCCGACTAATGGCTGCCCATTGGAAAGGCCGTGGGAGTACGGGAAGACCTGCTGGTGAAGCAGGGCGGAGCTGGACCTGGAGCCAGCGTTGTGGGACTTTGGATCCTTGGCATTGTTGCAATTCTGGTTTTTCTCCCACTGGTTCTTGAAGGCTTTCATGCTCTTGATGGGCAGTTCTGGGGTGGAGTCTGGCGTAGGCAGCCCAGACAGCTCTGGGGAATGGTGGAGGTGATGGTGGTGATGGTGGTGGTGGGGGTGGACCAGGTCTCCCATTGTCATAGCGTGATGGCCGTTTCTCCTCGGCGCGTGATGCTCCTTGCTGTTGGCAAAGAAGGAATTGTAGATCTTCGGAGAGGACACCTCCAGCTTGTCGTCCTTACTCTGGCCGTCCAGGAGGCCGTTGAGCTTGGCCAGACTGCGGAGGGACAGCGCGTGCGGGATCGGCGCCTCGGGATCTTTCGACAACTTCTTTGTCTTGTGGCCCGTGTGGTTACAGTAGCAGGAGACCAGGAAGCCAGAGAGGAAGGCGCCAAGGACAAAGGCCACCAAAACACACGCGATGAGGAGAGTGTAGTGGACGCTGTGGTTGGTCTTCTCCAGCTCCGGCGGCCGCCTCACACCTTCAAAAACAGAAAAAGAGAGAGAGAAAAGGGGACTTCAGTAAGAGCTTTTTTTTTTTTTTTGACTGAGCCAGAAGAAAAAAGAGAAGATGCATTTTCAAGAGCTAATGTAGGTCAAGTAGCAGCCGGGGCGGACAGGTTGTGTTTACAGGCGCTTCGCTACGTGGCAAACAGCATGCGAGAGGTGTCTGAACCAAGCTCTTGGCTTCCTTTCCCTCCACCGTTACTAGATCAATGCACTCGCTCTCTTCCTTGGACCAGTGATTTCTCCTCTAGACTGACAGTGAGAAATCAACTCTGGAATGAGTTAGGGCTTTAAATATTGATGGGAGCGCAGCGGCAGCAGCGACCTGATGTCATTTTCGCAGGCTTTGCTTTCCAGTGCGAGGATCAGGGGCGAGAGCACCTGGTGTGATGAACGGGCCAAAAATAACCGCGCCAGACTTAAATGAGGTTGTCAAGTCCTTTCAAAATGAAGCCGGGGGGGACAGTCTGCGCGCCGAAAAAACACAAGGTTACTTCGCCGAGGTAAATCTACCGTGTAAATGTCCTTGGGCCACGTGACCCCCGAGCACTGTGTATGCCTAATGGCGTGAAAGGTAACGGCGGTAAGAGGAGTGAAACCTCCCACCCGCTCGTAATCACAGCTCATTTGCAAGAGGCCTGCCGCCATCTGGGGTGTCAGACCCCCCCTTAATGACAGTTTCTGTGAAACTGATTAGTCTGAGGGGGGCGACGGCCGAGATGTGCAGGTGTTCCAACCACGCGGAACTCAACCCGCTGATGAAAGTTTGAGGGAGGAAGACACAAAACGATGTCTAAATCAGGCTTGATGATAGTTTATGATACATTCAGAATAATGATGATGAGGAAGAGCATGATTGGTGGAGGGAGATCAGGGGGATAATTAGGTCTTCATTTGAGCAAATTTAAAATATTTTTCTCTGAATCGAGTGACCCAGATTTACTGAATAAAGGCTCTTTGCTCCAGAAATTCCTCCCTGAAGGAGTTATGATGTGGGCAGATGTGTACAGTGCGTCATTGTCACTGGTGATATACCGTATATTCTGGTCTGGTAAATGGAAACGCTGTTCTCTCGAGACAAAACTAGACAAGCACTCAGAAAACCTCTCATCTTTAACAAAAGTGAAAAATAGTAACAGATCCCTTAAAGATGTAACAGCTTTTTCCTTGAAAATCTTTTCCTCAAAATTAAGAGTCAACGAATGACGGCTTATTACCTGATTGTCATGTATCAATACATTTTTAGCGGGGTGCTTTGCTACCACAGAGACTGATACTATAATCTTTTTTAGAAATAACCCTCCAATAAAAAACACTCTATTTTTCTCTCATGATTGCTTTGACTTATGCCCACATTAAAGAGCCGTAAATTGTAAATGCAATCCAGTGGGAGAGGCAATCAAGAGCGATGCTGCACTGAGCCTTTTAACACCAGTTATTTATTTTACACTGATATGTAAAGTCGGCTGGTGGACGGTCTGAGACGTGGGGACGGAAAGGCTGCTCTCGCCTCGCTGTTCTTTCTGCCGCCGGCGCCGCCCCCCATCCAGTTACTGGTGAGTCATCGGCTCCCTCTAGACCACGGCCCCCCCCTCCTCCCCCCACGATACCCGCCTATTGAACGGTTCCTCCTGGTGCCGGGGAGCGAGTCAAACGGCGCGACATGGGGGTGGTGGGACGCGCCGCCGAGTTGAACAAACCCAGAGCCCCTGCGAAACCTGTCACAGCACGTTTTCTCGGGGCGGGCTTGATGACTCAATGACGGGCCGCGTGGGACGTTTGGTGCCACCGGTCACAGCGGCATTGATACCCCTGTGAATCACGCAGACAGCTTGGCGGGCGGCTCCGTGTCACAGAGGGGGGCGGCGGGGCAAACGTGCGCGGCGCATTCTGAGCCGCTCGACATGCATCTGAGGAGTAAACTCACTCTGCGGTTGAAATATCTATTTTGTTAAGAGGCCTTAATTACGGTCGCTTTACTCTCGTTTCACGACTTCCGTCGAATGTTTGCGTAGCTGCGGAGTCAGCGGGGCCCTCGAACGTTGTCACAACATGTTTCAGGCGTCCACTCAACGTGGTCTCGGCTCACAGGCGGCTTAATATAGAGTCTGCCATGAGGTAAAAAGACAGATGGGCCCCATGAGTTGAGCCGAGGGAGGGAAGTGGGGGAGGGCGGACAGAAAAAAAAAAAAAGATTAAAGGATGAAATTCCACCTCGGTGACAAACTGGACGCGCGAGCGTGAGAGGAGGGTGGCGGAGATGAAAGGCCGGGAGAAGGAGAGCGAATGCACGTGTGAGGAGCGGGTTCTGGAGGAGGAGGGGGAGGCAGGCAGACACGACGATGGAGTGAGCGACATGATCCGTCGCTCCGCCGGGTTCACTGACGCCCGGCGCTCCCGTGGGCAGCTGTGATGCGGTTGGAGAACAACCCCTCGCGCTCCTCCGCGGCGGCGCCGGGGGAAGAGAAGCGATGTGTGATTGCAGCTGTATTGTTAAGAATAGACGGAGCGGCAGGTGACGTAAGACAGGAAGGTTTTACACGCTGCTTCTTTTCGTACTAATTGGAGATGGAGGTTTCCCAAAAAAAATGGCCGTTGTTGTGTGCTAAGTTTAATTTCCTGCAGGTGCGCTAATGACACGTCGGTGTTTGAAGCAGGCGAGTTATTAAGCAAAAGGCTCGCACACATCGTAAACTGTAAACGCATAAGCGTCTCCATGACACCAAGTACCGCTAATCTCAACACTTTGACGTATATATCACAACTATCCAAAAGTTCCGGTTGAGATCTCGGCGTGGAGGGCATTTCAGATGACGTCATTAACTATATTACTATAATACTATAATATTAGACAAGAGGAACAACTTTTTGGGGTTTCACACTCGCCTTTTTTGTAGGATTGAGCTTTTCTGAAGATGCTTCGTAACCTGGACAACAGTTCTTGTTTCATAAAACCTTCTGTAAAGATGTTCCAAAATAGCCCCAATTAGTTCCTGCTTCCTAGAGCTTAAAGTGCATGTAATTGTTCCCTTAATAGCTGCTCTGCCCCCCCAATGTTGGAGATTTATTTCTTCCACAATAAAAAATAACCCGCAGGTTGAAGACGCAACAAATATTTGTTTTCCCAAATGTGGAGCTCTGCCTCGTTGCTGTGAGCTTTGGTAATTTGATGGTTTTAATACCTGACGTCTGTGCACTGACAGACATGATTAGCAAACAGAGCATGATCACATGTGTCAGCACGCCTGTGCGCGCGCGCTCACACACACTTAGGATACACTGTGTGTGTGTGTGTGTGCGCTCGCCTGGTTCTGGCTGTTGAGTGAATTCAATCATGAACACTTGTTATTAGGAATTTGCATTATATTCCACATCAGTGCTCCCGCAATGGGATGCACTTTGATATACGCTACATACGGGCGAAGGTGATTAGGTGTAATGTGACGGATCCACTTCAATTGAAAAATAGTGGTAATGAGCACTGCATTTCATTCCAGGTGTGCTGATGCATAAAGAGCATAGATTTCATTACAGGTCTGATTGAATACTGGTAAATTAGGCGTGCTGCGGCATCTGGCAATCAGAGCCATGCTGTCTGTATGAAGTCCTTCAATATTTACACCTGTGCTTTGAGGGGAAAGTCAAGTTCTTTAAGTAGCGGTAGACATTTTGCTTCAAACACTCACATGAAAGACGGTGGTTTGTTAAAAGGAGAGGTTCAGTCAAATAAATAAAAAAAACGGATCCATTTGCTCACTTGTGAGCTTCCACTCCGGTAGATATGGAGGTGAGTGGAGGTTTGTTTGTATTGATTGAAGCATTTGCACAGACCCAAACATGAATATAGCTCTGTAGTTGAGATTCTCCACCACTTTGACCAGCATAAACAAAGTCCAAGTCACCTTTAATATACCAGGGAGAAGGGAAAACGCCCTCGCAGAAGTGGGTGAACTGACCCTTTAACGTGTCATCAACTCAGTCTCCAAACCAGGCAGAGCACATGCACCTTTTTTTTGGTTGTTTTCTCCACGTGCATCTGCTTCCAAAACGTCAAAAAAGAGGATTGTTTTATTCGGTGGCAGGTAAAGCAAAAACGGTTCCAATGCAAACTTCACACTGTTGCTGTGAGGATCCACACAAAAAGAGGGGAAGGCGGCACTGGAAGAACCTCGACTTTACCAACAAACTTAAGAGACACAGTCCACACCAAAGTCAGCTTGTTTTAAACCACAGATTTGGTTTAAAATCATCTCGGTTTCGAGCTCAATAGCTGGCATTGTACAAGGAATCAGGTCTTTGGGGTGAACTGCTGCTTTAAGGGAGAAACTCAGTTTCAGACTGAATCGGCTGTAAAAAAAATAAAATGAAAAAGGCGGATTTTAAAGAGACGTTGAAAAGGGTCAGTGAGCGAAATCAACCGCGGAGGCAGGTGCAGCTCAAAGGGTCAGTCCAACTGAAGAAAGAAAAGAACGAGGAAAAACAAGCAGGTTAAGGAAAGCAGGAAACTCTCCCCAGAGGTCAACGAGACGGAAGAAAGGCTGAAGGGTTAAGGGCGAGGAGTCGGACACAACTGCGAGGGCGGATTGGATCGCTGCGGGGCCCGTGAGTCCCAACACCGAGCCGAGCTTCACCACCCGACACGCCGTGTTACTTTTTACGAGTGTGTTTTTGTAGTAAAGCGTGAGGTCACTCATCGTTGCCATAAAAGTGCCGCTGTGGAGGGGAAAGCGGCCTGGTTCGCCATTACACCGAGGCGACGACTCAGGGAGTCCAGCCGTTGGCAGTGACGTTTTCCCGAAAGTGAGACGAATGTGTGGGCGCATCGGACTCGTGATGAATCGTGCCAAAAGTTGCCTGCAGGGTCGACGGAGACGAACGGGCTGAATAAAGTTCGACAGCAAGCGGTTCTTTTCAACCGTCGCGATGAACATCTTTCTGGATATGCAGCCTCAATCTGACCATGAAAGCCCGGCTATTTAATATTTTAAAGTCCAACTTCACACTGTCTACAGTGTGAAAAAAAGTGACAGCTGCTTTCTGGATGATCGCGGGAATTGAAAAATTAAGTAATTTCACTGCTGCTGCATTTCGGTGGATCTTTTTTCTACTGGTGACTGATGAAACTGAATGAAACTTTTAAGAATTAAATGCTGACATTGATTCATCTCATCCAAATCAGTACTTGTTTGAACCCAAACTACGATCATTTAAAATCTAACAAAGTACATTTTATTTTGAAAAGTATGCATTTTGCGAGGAGAAATTGAGTCAATGGGCTTTCTTAGAAAAAGGCACATAAATAGATGATTGTGGCTGAAAAGTGGAGTTGGTCCGATGCCAGTAACAGAAATTCCTCTGACGCAGCCTAAAACGTCTATTAGCAAATCTGATACCCGCCAGAAAAAGCAGCCAAAACAAAGCTTAGTGTTCTGATATCTCATCAAAAACATTCTATTCTGCGTGCATCATTTAAAATATCGCCCCAAAGAAACCTTTTAATACCATTAAAAACATCACATTCTGCGTAACTGAACTGCAGAAATAGTCAAATGCAAATAGATGAAGGTACATAGCATGTAGATGTAATCGACTTATCTCTATAGGTCTATACATTTTCGTAGAAGTGCAGGACTAATTAATGTATTGCAGTGAAGCATTGAAGGCTGGAGGGAGTAAAATATGACAACCCTCCAAAAACACATAAAATGCATCATGAAAACTGTTGATACTGATGAAGCTTTTCTGAGTTAGAGGATACACGAGTCCGATCAGCGACTGCATGATGAGGGCGGTGTGTCTGCTGCCGTTATCTTCATAAGTCTAAATAACCATTACAAATATCCATTAAGCCCCCCTCCCACCACCTCTTCTTCATGGAAAGGTTCGGCCCAAGTTTGCACTCTGCTCTCCTCCTGTTTTTATGAGTTTGAACCCCCCCCCTCCGGCTCCGCTTGATTCTATTACCGAGCCGTCTTCCCCGCGCTCATCAGCTAAATTAGCCGCCGGCTCGGCTTTTCAGTCCCGACCCACGCAAGTTCATCTGAATGAGCCGAAAGAAAAGAAGGGTCAAGTGACAGCAGAGGGCGGAGAAAAACCCCAAACCAGGAGAGGTCTAGAACACGCAGCACCGCGGGCCGCGGTTTTGCTAAAAACGCGCCGTTTTCTGGAGAGGTGGGCGATCCACGACCAGAAACAGCTCGAGTGCAACCTCGCCGCTGGCGTTGTTTCTAAATAGCAGCGGGTCAACAGGTTCCTGCCCCCGGCTTTCAGTCCTCCCCGGTGTTTACGTAATGCAGTGCAGCTACCCACATCTCCTCATCCTTCCATGACGGAGACATTAAAAGACAAAAAAAAAGCAATTGCGGTTGGGATTAACGGGCCTCGGACTTCCATGGATGCAGCGGAAACTTTTTCTGAGCTGTCACATCCGTCCGGACTGTCAGTACGGCAGCAATAAGAAAGGTGAATAGTTCCCACACAGGTAGCCAATAATGGAGAAAAACAGACACCAGCTGACCGGCTGTCCTCGTCTTCACGGATGTAGTTTGGGTGCAGTGACACATTTTCACTCGTTAAGGAAATTTCTAGTTTAATTAAACATTCTTTTTTCCCGTTTCTGCACGATGAGCGTAAGACGGTTGGAGTTCAGATTTGGCCTCAAGAGTTGCGCGTATTAAGCCGCCGTCTCTGCAGCGATGAACCTCTCCTGTACGCGTCTGTCGTCTCACAGGGAGCTTTTAGAAACTTTAAAATCTTTAAAAGCCCCTGACAGCCGATGGCTAACCATTTCATTTAGCGAGCTAGCTAACTCTGTTTTGTAGGGGAAGCTGGTGTAAATTGGACTTCCTGACATGTCACAGCATGGACAGCACAGGTGTGAGTAATGAATCTAATGACGGCTGGATGCTATTTAGCTCCCTCAGTTTGACGGCCCTCCAGTGGTTCCCCCTGGCTCGCTGTCACGTTAGCCTTCGCCGATGTTATTAGCAACTTGCTTTTCTTGCTACGACAAGTCCAAATTTCTGCTGTGAAAAAAAGGCTTTTGGTGGAGAGTTCTAAATAACGTTTAAACTAAAGTTGTTATGCAAAACTGTTTTTTGAGCACCAGGGTCCCTTTAAAAAAATCTCCGGGTTCTCATCTAACGCGGCAAATACAACCTAGCGGTAATGCAACCCGGTGGCACAGATGACAAGCATTAAACATAATTTCCAACCGATAGCAAATTGTATGGCTGGTTACTTTTGTAAGTTGTATAGATCCAACACTATTAAACTGAGAATGCTTCAAAACCCGTTGAAAGTTCCTCACAGTAGCTTAAACGCTTGCCGGCTAGCTAGCCCGGTGGCTCTCCGGGGAGCTAACGCGCCCTAAAACTTATTTCATGAGCTGAAAGTCCTCATTCTTGAGACATACTTAATCTTTATAGAAGCTAGTGACGGTACTTTTTTTCCAATGGCGCTTAGCATGATGGCTAGCTGGAGAGCTAACGCGCGCGATCAAGAACACGCGCTTGGTTACAGTCTGTAAACACACTGTAGTGGTGTGTAACGTGTGGCCGGCTGTCTTCATTGCGCCGGTTATCTCTGTGCAGTCGCCTTTGTGGCCTCTTAGTGTGACAGAGCTGTGGAAAGCACAGACAGAACAGCAGATATCCGCTGAGCGACGGACGGGGGAGGGAGAGAGGCCGCGGTGCCGTTACTTCCTCGTCGGCTCCTCTCCTTCCTCCTTATCTGTCCGACCGCCGCGGCTCCTCTGATTGAACCGGCGGCGGCGTCACAGTCTCTGGCTGAAATGGATTGCGTTGGCGGTTTCCATTACATCCTGCCGCGCCGCCCACACCTCCCCGCTCCTGTATTACTCCCCGGCTCAGGCCCCCCGCCGGTTATTTATTTGTTACGGGCTTTTCTCATTTGAGCCTGAGTAGCTCATCATTGCAGCAGGAGAGTCTGTCTGCCTGAATGGAAGCTTGTTTCCCCTCGCCAAGGATTTATGGACTCCTGACAGGATGCCCGTGCAAGCAAGCAGCAAGGAGAGGACGTGAAGAAAAGAAGAAGAAAATCATTTGTCCTGCCCGAGTCGCAAATCCAAATGACCCGTATCTTCTTTTCAAACTTTCAGGGATCGAGTCCTTAGAAGGGGGACGAACCGCAACGCTTTCTCTCTGCTGCTCTAGTTTCTTTAACTGGTCATCGGAGGGTTTGCAGAGGCGTTTTGTTGCACTTCCTGCTCTGGCTGTGTTAATTAGTATGAGAGCGGACTAACTGTCAAATTAAAAATGTAAGAAATAATGAGACTTGAGCCTATAAAGATCGAGATGTGATTAAATATTCAAGAACTGGCTGGAGTTTTATAGGTCATGTAATTTATTGGGGCAGATGGGAGGTGCGGTGTGAAAGTTGAGTCTGTATCTGCAAGATTACGGGTTGGACACTTTTATTAAAGTGGGAACAGAAAACTTAACCTGATTCAAATAACTGATGTTTCTGACCGCAAAGACTCAGCGGAACAATACAAGTTTTAGAGCTTAAAGGGTTCCTGTGATTTATTGTTTGAAGTCATTTTTGTTCATCAAAGTCAAAGGATCCACCCTGTGAAACAGGATTTGCTGCATTTATTTGTCTACTGTTTTAACAAATTGAATACCTTTTGGTTTAAAACGCAGATGAAAGAAGCAATCTGAATATCAGCGCCATCAAAACATCACCATGGGATCTGGAAATTGGCGATGAACTATTCCTCTGATGTTTTAAACATTAAACGGTTCACGGCCCAACAAATGCTCCAAAGACCAGAACAATATTCTCATTTCCTTAATTCTTAAATTGGCCTAATTCAGAATCTCCAATTGTACTACATTGTTTACATGAACTGTATGGTGATAATATTGTCGTATTTGTAACAATAGTTGAAAATAAGATATTTTGTGGAGTTGTAGGAGGAACAGCAGCAAGCCTGGAAGTTGACATCTGGACTTTGAATGACTGTACTTGCAGCCAAGGGAAATAATAAATGCAAATTAATGGTCACAGAGAGAAACGAAGATGCAACCTGGAGTTCTTTCAACGTGTGGGAGAACATCGAGGGAATATTTGTGAATGCTGACGAGCTAAATAAAAGATGAAGCGAGGCCAGGAGGGAGCGGTGTTGTTTAGACTCAGGTTGATTTGAGGAGTTAATTAGAGACTTTGCTGTATACTTATTACAAGTCATTAAACCGTTCGTGGCCGCCGCGTTGAGCACATGGCGGAACAACGGGCTGAACATAGCGGGACAAGAAGGTCGTCGTCTTCATGCTCTTATCCGCATGCTCTAGCATGGCGGAAATCTCGTGACTAATGAAGCGTGTGCATCAAGAAAATCAATGCCTATCGCTAAAAGATTAGTTTAACTAGTGAGTTAAGAGTTAGTGAGCTAATTCAATTTATATTTCACCCTGGGGGAACATTCACACGTATTCGCATGCATCACATGACTTCTTGCATGGTCGTCCGCCTCCTGCTTTCACTGGTCAACACTCACATCGAAATTGCGAAGAAAATGCATTTTTTTATGTCATTTCTTTGGTTGAAGGAGTTGATTTGGATGTTATTCTCCACGTTAGTGGTTTGAAATGAGTGACACGGCCACGGAAGCGCAGGTCATATGATTGGAATGATACGGTGCAGGCATGCGTGATGTTCTTCCAGGGTGAAACATGACTTTTTTCTGTTTGTTTTTGTTGGTTAGTGTTCAGCCTGGTTAGCGGCGTACGACGAGGCATTCGGGGCCCAGCGGTGCAATCCCCCCTGCAGGTTAACTGAGGACGGACATCCCTCCCCCTTACCCTCCATCTCCACACTGATTGGCTCCGAGTCAGGTGACCCTTGCTCCCCCACGGGGGGAGGGCCATCAGGACCTGTACCTCTTTCAGGGTCACCTGCCTCCTTAGGGAACGCCGCCCCATGATAGGTTGTGGTGGCGCTTGTGGGTGTGGTCTTCCCTGCGGTTGTAACGAAGGAGGAGGAGGAGGAGGAGGAAGAGTGAGTAATTAGTGAAATGTGAATCAGCGTGGAGAATCAACTGCAGAAAGATGAGGGCGAGTTCTGAGTGGAAAGTAAAACCGTCACCACAAAAGGACCCAGGGAAGGCTGTTGATGAGCAACATGATGAGGACACACACACAACGTTAACTCATCCGTCGGTTCACTTCCCCTCAGATGCACAGCGAGTGGTGGCTGCAGCGAACTTCACCAGCTGCTTAATGCCCGCGTTTCAATCTCCCCGAGGGCCTCAGACTATGGCTTTTCCAACGTTTACAATCCACGATTCTGCAGAATATCGCTGCTATCATCGCACTCAAAATCAATTCATACCCTTTGAAGGGCCAGCGTGTCGAGTTAAGGTTCTATTAGCATGAAGTTAATATTTATACTGACACTAGGAATGGTTTTATTTTGGATAGCTTATATCGGCATTTCATAAAAACCCGCCATGTTGCTACAGGAATACAGACGAACTGAACACTTCTACGACATGTCTACGTTTACCTGAAGGGCACAGTAATTCTCCGCTCTGAAAGGGAAGAGTGAGCGTTTGCAACCTGCAACCTCACCGCTAGACGCCACTGAATCCTACACACTAAATATACTATTAGCACATTTTGCAACTGTTTTAGCATCAAAACACGGCTATCGGCACCTTTTGTCAGAAGACAAAGTTGAAATTAAAGTGGAAATAGACTATTGTGTTTCCTGTAACTTAATCATTCAGACATTAAAATATGGCTCAAATACAGTAGCAGGGCTGCGTTTGCTGGCCGTGTTGCTAATGCTACCGCTAGCTAATGCTCACCACATCTTGCGGTAGCCTCTGTGGAGGTGAACGAAGGCCTCGCAGGCTTCTTCTATCGTGAGCACCAACTAAAAACACTACTTGGAAACGCAACGGGAGGAAACGTCTGTTTTTATACCATTTTTATACTCTAATAAGGTTATTCAGCTGTTAAACTCTCTCATCAGTCGTATAATCCTCCTTCCCTTTATTATTTTTAAGAAGAATCCCATCATTTAACGCGCTCTGACCTCCGGCCACTGTTAAAACTCCTCCGCGTCCGCCAGGCGTTTTCACAGATAAGCTGAAACAGACACCGGCGGCTGGCTCGGCGAGTCGGCTTCTTTTTGGGTTGTTTTTCTTTCACATGACGACTCCTTTTCCACTACCTCACTCGAGCCGGCTCACGGGGAAGCTCGCGTCACCTCGGGGCGGATCAGCGGAGATTTGGCCACGTCCCGAACCCTTTCAAACCGGTGCCAGCGAACGCGCCGGGAACTCGCCGCCACAGGTCCCGTATCATCAAGCGCATTTCGTCCCCATCTTGATTGCATTATTAGCTCCGTGTTGTCCTTGAGGTCCGGGCGAGCGGCACGCTGCTATTGGCTCGGGCTCCGGCACTAATAAGCCGGCCATAATGTTAGCATTCTGCAGAAGCTTACACCCGGACAGTGGGGGGGGGGGGGGGGGACGGGCAGGAGGGGAGGGGTGGCTCGTTCACTCTCTCTCACTGCGAGCCAGTTGACAGCGTTCACTCTGAATGAGGCGCCCCGTCGCTTCGCCATCTGCGCCGGGCAAATTAAAACTGTACACCGGGGGGGTTGTTTGGCCCTGGCACGTCGGAGAAGAGCCGCACGACTCCATTACTTCGATTTATAACAATCGTGTTTCGCTCAGTGTGAGCGAAGGATTTAGCATTTTGTCGTATTTTTTTTTTTTTTTAAGTCTCGACAGCGTGAAGAAAATAAAGCACACTCTACAACAGAAGATCATTTGATTGCCCACGCAGGCCGGCGTTTGTCTCGTGTCCCTCCCTCTGCCGGCTGGGCCTGTTTGGCTGACAGCGAGGTGGAAGAAAGAGAGAAACGTAGCCCCTGTGTGACAGCGGCTTTGTTTCGGCATTTGTGGGGTTTTATCATCCAGGAAAGCTGATAATTGATCTTCAGCGCGGGAGACTCCAAAGGCTTTTGGTGTCAGCAAGAAAAAAAAAAAAATAAAAACCAACGCCAGAGACGGAATCTGACTGCGCGTTCAAGAACTTCAAAATCAAGCTTCGGGGTGATGAGCCCCCCCCGTAGGATTAACCGCGGAGGGTTGTTCGACAACACTTGCTACCGACTGGGTGGTAATTCCTCGGGGCGCGGGGGTGAGGGGGGGGGGCCGCGCACACTCGTGAGGCCTCCGCAGACAGAGAGGCCTCTGTTCAGAGAGAGAGAGAGAGAGAGAGAGAGGATGGACCGACATCTCCCCCCGTTCCCCCGCGGCGTCCCGATCCGTCCAGCCACAATCTGACTTTGAGTGCGTCTTAAGAACTCCTCATGAAGTTGAAGCGGGAGCTTTTGTCGCGCCGATAAAGCGCCGGCCGGCGGCTATCTGATTGAAAACGACTGCTGTCGAATGACGCGGCGGTAGAAGATCGCCTGAACGCCACCTCTTCAATCTTGTCGAGAGACGGTAGCAAGCTTCTCCTTTCTATTGGGGCCATGCCGGAGGGGGGCGGGAAGGGGTGAGGGGGGGGTGAGGGTGTACGTGTGTGCGGTGTGGCCAGCAGGGGAGTAATGGGACGTGACAGGGATGATGATCCTTCTTGATACAGGGCATTAGGCAGCCTGGCCAGTGGAGCTGCTGGTCCATCAAAGGGCCGGTGCCTCAGACAATGGCTTCAATGTTTAAGCTGCTGGATATAAAAGCGACCGGGTTGCAAAGTACAGAGAACGTCCACGCGGTAGGACCTGAAAGCCTCGAGAAGGATCAAAAGAAACAATGAAATATTTCTTGAACACGATGGGTCATTTTTTGGACTTTCCTCGTGATGTTTGTTTTACTCACCAACAGAACCTCAAAAAACAAAACAATGCTTTTCTTCTCGTGTGTTGGCGCTCAGATAAGGAAAACGATTAAGAGACGTTCACTGACCGTACGCCGAATCCAGCCCCGGGTTTTGCTTGCGAGTGGTCGCCAGCACATCTGGTGGAGGACAAACACGGACATTTACAATGACATCCTCGTTGCACGTGTGTATCAGGCGTTATCAACGGTCAATATTACATTCAAAGTGTTTTTCTTCACCTAAAAATGACTTAATTTGTAATTTTTATTACCATTATTATTGCTATTAATGAGGACAAAACTGGCTTTGAATAATGTTTTATTAGTTATCAGACTTCTTCTGAACATTTAACTCTTCTGCATATATTTGTCCGGTAAAATCCCATTCTGTTATTCAAGAGATGGAGACCGCTTTAATAATGTTTCGTTCCTTATATCTTGTTGTAAATGGGAGCAAAACGTAAATCAATACAGAAAGATTGAGCAGAGCGCTGCGGCGCTGGAGTTGGGAACCGGGGGCGGGCAAACTACTTTTCAAGCTCCTTCGGAATGAACCCAAACGCCGCCGTCTTTATAATAAACACATCGTAATGCTCCATTAGAATGCTTTAGATCCGCAATCATGCGCGCCGGCTGTCGCTCCGCCGCCCGAGCTCCGATGACAGGCGACGGCTGTTTTCTCCTCTCGCTCCCTTTCTTTATTGCTTATGTAAATCACCGGGAATAAATAAACATTTCCATCTCACCGTGGCAGGTTTCGGCGTGCTGATGGTAACCGTTCTCCACATCCTGTTCAAAGCCGCCCCTGAAGGGAAAAAAAACACAAAAGACACCCACGCACACACATACACACACACACACACACACACACACACACACACACGCAGCAATAAGACAAAGAGACACATCAGTGAATTTGCATCAAGGCATTTTCCTAACAGTCCATTTTTAACAAAGCACCTCTTGAGATTTCCCAGAATTGGTTGTGCTGATGAGGAGTGCTTGGGAGACGCAGCGGTAAGTGCACCCAAAGAAAACCTTGTTTGTTTTGTGTCTGGCGGTCGGCTCGGATCTCCGACCTGGCTGCACGTCGCGGATCCCGCGACCTTTTTGGCACGACGGCAAAGTTGGTTTAGGATGAAAAGTTGTACTCGACTGAGCTGCGCGTCCTCGCTCTGCCCTCGAGTCCTCTGACGGTGCTTCACTCATTTCCTCCGTTTTCCACATCTCACCTCGGCGCTTTCTGTAGCTGCACTGTATTCTAGTCAACTGAGGCTATGCTGCAAATTGGTATTCGGAGTTTGACCGCTCTGCAATAAAAACGTCTCTGTGCATAAATGTGGAACGTCAGGGAAAAAGACCCGGAGGAGAGGGTTTAGATCTGGAGCGACTGGGACCAGAACCTGTAATTTTACCGCAAACCTCCCACATTGCTACTAGCCGTCCTTCAGCAAAAACAAGAAACACGAAACTACGGATTGAAGTTTTAGGAGAGTGATTAAATCATGATTTCATGGATCGGTAGATCGACTGGTGGTTTTGTTTTTTGTTCTACGATGCAGATGATTTACGCCTTTTTGGTGATTAAATCTAATTGAATCAACGTGAAAACTGAGGCACATTTGAGCAAATGAGAGGGAGTGGGGGGGCCCTCAATCACTGGGGGGGGGGGCCTAAATCACAGCAAATGAATGTTTTAACAATTTCTTCCATTCTGAACTGGCTGGCGTAAAATCCAAATCCTCTGAATCCGTCTTTCCAACCGAACCCTCCAAACTGACACAAAACCCAATCTGGCAATCATTGATTTTTCTGCAGCTCTGGTGACAATGTGTCTACAATTGAAAGGCTGTTCCCCCCTTCAAAGGAGTCAAAGTCCCGTCCGCGCGAAATGCGATCGTGCCGCCGCGGCGGAGCGGAAGGCCTGCGCGGCGACGCCAACAACCGTCCCACGCGCTGCAACGAGCCGAGCGAAATAAGACACGGGCTCGCGTGCCGCACAAGAACAACGGTAATGATCCGGCACGGATCACGCCGGGGCTCTTTTTGCGCGAGCGCGCACGCTCGCCTACTCTGTAATAAAACCAATTACATGCAAATGCACGCAGTCCTCCAGCAACGCAGAGATCATTAACGAGGGAAGTTCTCTCTGCTCAGACACAATGCGTGATCCGGAACGCGCAGGACATTTTTAGATAGCTCTTTGTTGGGAAACTCACAATCCTCCAGACAAACACTCCTGTGCGCCTCCGAGAAACAACGCGTGTCTGATTTGGAGAAAAAAAAACAGTCTGAGAGCGAGAATAACTGAGCCCTGCTGGAGGTAAAAACTAAAGGAATCCCATCAAACGAACCACCACCATTTTTATTCGCCGCGCGTTGAAGCAGCTGGTGTGCCGTCATCTGTCAGGTTCGGGGTTTGTGCGTCTGCGGAGCCCGCTGCGGCGAGGCCTCTCGGCGCAGACACACACCTGGCGCACTGCTTAACATTGTTCTCCTACCCACCAAAAAAGTGCCTTTAACCTTCCAGAGGAAAGGAAATCAAAGCACGCCAGCTTGATGCTCGGTGCTTGTGGGAGAGACGAACTAGTCGGGGATGAATACAGATCTTCAGAGGAAGTATTTTTACAACTGAGAGGAGTTGGTGTTTGACGTCACGCCATAAATGGTGCGATCCATTTAGTGTGGAATGAATCAGAGTGAAAAGTTTATATTGTTTGAATCACGTCGCTCCTTAAAATAAAGATTTTTCTACTCTACATTTCTAAGCGACCCGTTTAACCGAAGACATGATTATATTTTAAAATCCTCTCATGAATTGAAGAAAATTGAGTTGCAGAAGCCTAAAACAGACTTTCATGTTGGAGAAATCCTTTTGCAGCACCCTTCTCTTCTTCTTCTTCTGCCTTCCTGCCGCTCACATCCAAAGAGGAGAAGAGATCTCTGGTGCAAGGTGGTGAAGGAGGTCGCTGGTGCAAGTCGCTGCAACGTCCGACACTGACCGGACTACCAGCTCTCGTCGCGTGGGGGGGGGATTCATGTCGCCATGGTAACGAGTTACGTCACGCGGGTATTTCTCACAGCGCTCGCAAATTATTCACATTGGGAGATCGAAACGCCACATACGCAAACGTCTTACACCTTCCGTCGAACACATTCCACATTCCACGTCGATCTACGCCGCGGGCCAACGGTCTTTGCTCTGCGCATGCCAAACCAGAGCAGTGGTGCAGGTGTCGAGGTAGGTGCCCCCCCCCCCCGAGCTCACTGGAGCTTTCGTTAACGAGCAGGTCGACAGGTCACATTTGCCTCTGGAATAAGTACAGCACTTATCGCCATGATTGACCTTCTCTGGAGTTCAATGCGTGTGAGCCAACAATCCAACGTGGACTAGCGGGCGATATGAAATGTTATGATGTGAAGCACTTTGAGTCTGCATTGTGTATGAAAAGCGCTATACAAATAAAATTGCCTTGCCTTGCCTTTTTGTTCTGTTGGGCCTTACAAACACAAGAAACCGCTGGCTGACCCGTATGAACATCTGTCCGCACCCCCCAATCCATTTTTCTGGGTTCATGCGCATGCTTACATTGGAGTGGCCTTGTTTTCAAGGATGCTAGTGATGGGTTCACTTCAGGTGAGTATTATCTGCTCATCTAATCAACACCGGAGTCCATACCAGGTAAAAGGCACAAACCAAATTCATTATTTAAATAACTGAGAATTCTATCAATGCAGATCAGATTTAGTTCAGAGCCACATATGGGTTCACCAAATAAGCCTTTTCTTGCTATTTCAGGAGTTTGCCTGACAACAACCCTAACAGAGTTAACCAGTGAGTAACTATCGCGCTCCACAACGATGGCTTCCCTCTGACGGACGAGGTCAAAAAATGTCCCATGATTTTAAGGCTTTTAAATTCAACGGCCTTCTGAAACAACTGCACGCAAATTTATCACACGCTAATCTACCTCGCGCTAACCTACCGCGCGCTAAACTGCCGCGCGCTAACCTGCCACTACCGCGCGGTATCATACCGCACGCTAACATTCTGCACGCTAGCCATCCGCCTTTTGTCTTGGCTTCCTGCTACCTACCACGCGCTAACCTACCTCGCGCTACCGCGCGGTATCATACAGCACGCTAACATTCTGCACGCTAGCCATCCGCCTTTTGTCTTGGCTTCCTGCTACCTACCACGCACTAACCTACCGCGCGGTATCATACCGCACGCTAACATTCTGCACGCTAACGCCAGCCGCCTTTTGTCTTGGCTTCCTGCTCCGGCGACTGTGATCGACTGCTTTATGGACGCGATGCATTAACACAAACCGAAGCCCCCAGCTGGGGTACGAAGCCGAGCCGTTCTTTCAACGCGTGAGAGATGAAGAGGGAGAACGAGGGGGTGCCAATCCTCTCTCCTCTACCTCTCCCACCCTCCAGATCAGCCACGCATCAGTCATTATAAATGTATGCCACCTCAGGATGAGAAAGCACAGGGGAAAGAGTAAAGGGAGACTGAGCGGCCATGATAAGAGAGAAGAGCCCATGAGGGACGAGGGTGACTTCATCTCTAACTCCGGTCAGGTCTCCTCCTCCTGCCGGTTCATCCTTTCTCTCGTGCCGCCATCCTCATTCCCCTCCCTCCTCGGTCACCGCGCCCTCGTGACCTTTTATTCAGTGATTTATACACACGCACGCACGCACACGAGATATCACTTCACGCAGGATTTCAAACGTGATGTTTCACGTTGCGCCTCGCTGGCGGCCTGAGCAGGCACGCTCTTTTCTTGAGTAGAAAAAGCTAAATGACAAACAGATGTTCTGCACTTTGGACTTGAACTGATAAAAGTTCTCCCTTTGCTTCACGTATCCCTGCTTTAATAAATCTCTCTTTACATGTATGTTTTCCCTTCTTTACCATTTGTTACACGTCGCTCTGCTCCATTTCCCCTTCGAGCTTCTTCTTCTTTGTTTTTCCCGTCCGTCCGTACTTTCTCTCCCTCTGGCAGGGAGCTGATAGTCGAGTCTGGACAGGATATCTTGGCTGATCTCTCTTGCGATTTAGTTCATTGGTTTTCCAGCGCGGCTCCATCCTGCACGCTAAAAACCGACTCATAAATCAAAACCTCAGCGGGCAGCTTGGAGCGCGTCGTGAAGCCACATCGCTCTCTGTCTCTCCAACCCAAGCAGGGATTACTGTGTTGTTGACAAGCGTCCAAACCTGAGCTCAGACCACAGCCTCAACCTTAAATCAACTCGCAAACCGCTTCCTTAAGGTCACGACAAATTATTATTTTTTTTTTCATCCCATGCCTTACTACACATTTGTTAAAAAAAAAATGAAAATCTCATTACTTTACCTGCTCAAAAACATTGCATCTTTAATTCATCACAGTGTGCTCCAAGAGGCAAAAACTAAAAGTTCCAGCAAAGATTTCCCTCAGATTAAAGTGTCTTACTTCATTGGATATCCACTTTGTTTTGAACTAATTAAATTCCCGTTAACTGCAAAAAGGTAACCTTTGAAACAGCGCATGTTGAATTGGAATAACATTATATCTCTGCAGAAAAAATGAAAATGATCCCATTTCCCCAAATATGGACCTATGAAGAAGTAACGTTTAAGATGGTGAAGGATGTCGTGGAGCGTCATGGAGACCGAAAGAAAACATGTCAAAAAAGCTCAAAATGTCCATCAAAGCTCCTCCAAAGAGTCCTGCAGCGTGATCCACCTCTCCGCTGATGCTCCATATGTTCACCTGGAGCCAAACTCTCTGTTTCTCCATTACTAAATACTTCTCCTGGAGCCTCAACCAGCTTTATTCAAAGAATTGTTCCACGACACCCGGACAGAGACCGTGTCCACGGGGGCTTTCAGGAGGTCTTTGCTGCAGCTCTCTCGGTAGCAGAACACATCCCATTAGCTTCTGTCCGTGAGAGGCCAGGAGCAGTAATCCGCCTGGGTGGCCGTGCACAGAATACGCAATAATTCCAAATCTGCACATTCTCAGCAGTCAGATTAATCTATTGGAAGCCAGTCAGTGGAAAACAGTGGAAAAAGTAGCAGAAACTGGCCACGCACACAGTTACAAGCAAAAGTGCTAACGGCTAAGAGCGAAAATACCCGGCGTGGTGATTTAGGAACCGGTCGTACATCAACCACGCGGGGACACGCTGGTAAGATCTGACGTAAAAAAGCCGCCTGAGCCGATCTGCTCCAGATCTCTTCACCACGCGGGCCGAGCCGCCGCGCGTGAATCCGCATTAGCCGTTTGTGACGGCGAGTGCGTCGCTGAACAACCCGCTGAGGTGTGGAAATGACTCCATGCTATCATGGAGTCATTTGCACTCATGGTTACAAATGTGCTGTGTCTGCGAGTTAGAGAGCTAATAATGTCTTAATGTGGCTGTGCCCCCCACCCTCCCGGCCCTCCCGGCCCCCCCGGCCTAACTCACTAATTAGCGCAACTTTGCCCAGAGAAAAATTAACGGCCCCCACCACCTGCTGGAGCGTTTGATTGGAAAACCTAATTGTGCCCACTTGTTCATGATTGGGGACCTCTCTGGGAAGTGGGGGGGGCGGAGGGGGGCGACTATGAGTCACATCAGGCAGATCGCTGCTGCACTGCTAATTTGACTTTGCAGCAGGCCGCCCTTCTGGCCGAACCCCAGCTAGTGAGCTTAAAACAGATGTGAGAGCAGAACATGAGAGGAAGATGTGAGCAGATCTCTGTGTAGCGTTGGTTTGCGTTCGGAGGGTTGGAGACATTATGAGGAATCCCTCGTGTTTCTCTCGTGAACGCTTTGAATCTTACTCCACCTTGTATGACTGGAGCGCATGGAAAGTCTCAAATAACTTTATTTGCACTGCTTTTATGAACAGGAGGTTAAAAAACATTGTGCAGGAGACATTAGAAGTTTATGTTTCTAAACTGGGATGCATGATAATAAAATCCACGGGGTGTCATAAAACCTTTCTAATTAAAGTCCTTTTTAGGTGTTTTTTTTAATAACTAAGGGGAAATATTCATCTGACTGATCCGTGGGAAATCATTTTCTATTTTTTTTGCCATAATCTCCACAATAATTTTAAAATGAAGTCACTCAATATTTGAGTTTGCGACGAGTTGATGGTTAATCCAAATGTCCCACACCAAAGACCCAAAAATTACCTATTAAGTATATTCAAAGGTCTGGGCACCAAAGAGCAAAGAGCTTGGCTGTAGCTGCCGGCCTTCAGATACTATTCCCAACTAGATTTGTGCTTTGCAGCATTTCATTGAACTTCGTGCCACATTGTGGCGTCAGTGTGCCGTTCCTGCTGCTGCAAGGAGCACTTTTATTTTGAAAGACGAGCAGGTGAAACCGCGGCTCTAAAAAACCTGAATGTCCCCATTATTTCTGTGTGCGTTTGTCACTTACTTGAAGCCCGGGGAGATCGTTGCACAGCTGCCTGACTTGAGCCAGATGCAGTAAGGGTCCCGCGAGGACAGACAGCTTCTGCAGGAGAGACACGGACGGACAGACAGGCGGTCAGTGATGGCGGGGAGCGGCGTGCGCGACGAGGCCGCATGGACATTCGCACTCAGCCGTGACCTCGTCTTGTTCTCGCCCACGTCAACGGAGCCGCTTGCTTTGACACACAGATGTGGAGCGTCTTCCTAAATGTTCTTTCATGACTGGGCGATGGCGGTGATGACACACGCTTGTCATTGTGCTAAATGAGTGCATTTAAGTGTGAATTAACTTGTCAGCGGCAAACATTGAGGAACAAATATAGAACGATTGCTGCTTTTCTACAACACAAAAAAATAAAAACGGAAGATTGCAAATGGATTATTTTTTAATTAGGACGGTGGACTTTTTCTACTAAAGTGAAGGAAGAACAACGCGCTTTTTTAACTCTTTGTTTCTCTTTCAGGCTGTTAGCTCCCAATTTACCTCAGATTCAGTCATATTTAATGAGCCCCCGAATCTGTACATCCAGTTTAAAACGCGGCATTTGAATATGCAAATGCTTTTGCCGCTTCACCCCATTAAGTCTCGCTTAAAGATTGAGTGGTTTTAAAAACTTTTTTTTGTTCACAACAACCTCAAAAGCGCCTTAAACCGGTTTTCTCCTTCAGCTTTCCAAGTGTGTTCAGTGTAACATTTCGCTTGTTCCGCAATCCGTTCCAAAACCAAGACAGGCCAAAAACGCCAAAACTCGAGGCCTCAAACCGGCGCTCCAGTGACCAACGGGTGGCTGCGACCAGGATCCAATGCTTTACCTTCAGGACAAACTCAGCGGAGGTCACTCAGGCCTTATCGATCGCCCATGACTGACCTTCTGAGTCGACAGCCGGCGTGGATCCGGTCCGACGTCAGCGGGCGAGTCAATCACCCGCTGCTACTTACACTAATGCACGTCTGATTAGTGATTTAGCGAAATAACATGCTGAGTGTACTTGGAACGGTTTACTTCCCCCATTTACGGCAAACCGCGTTAAACACCATCAGCAGCCATTAGTCACGTTCCTACAGAATGAACATTCGGAACTCCTGTTGGTTTCATCATCCTGCACCCTGTGAATGAGTTGCACGATCCCGTCGGGCCTCCGTCCCACCAGCGCAAACTCACAAAACAACGCTGGGTGTCAGTGTTAATTAACACTACCGCGTCGTTCACAGCTGCAGAACCTCCGAGTGCTTCACACCACTATGCAGCAGCAGCAGCATAATGAGTCTGCAGCCGCAGAGGAAAAACAATGTCCACCGGCCGCCAATCTGCACTCGATATCCAAATCAGAGGTGATAGCAAACAAAGATCTGCAGCTTTGCAGTGGGCGACACCCGGGCTTTAACGAGGACTCCCGCCGCCCGTTTTAAATATTGAATGCGGTTTGTACGCCGTCTGCACTGAGGTGTTACGCCATCCGCACCCCTCTGTTGTTGCAAACGTTTGCAATCCCACCGAGGGCACCCGAGTGCGTCGCTCTCACCGAGCGGAGCAAAATCAAACAAGAGGCACTGCTTTGTCCTCGGGGCTGCAGCTGCAAACGGTTCAGAGGCGCACAAACTGTACGTAGCGAGGGGCAACATAACGGCACAGAGCGACGGGGACGGTTCGGAGGCCCCCGGGCGGTTGTACGCGGGCCCCTTCAGGCAGCATCACATGCGATGCGGTTTTCCTCAGGAGCTCAGTCTCTGCGATAATGCAAACATATGGATTTTCATGCAGATGTGCAGAAGCTCACAGCTGGTTTTCTGTCACCAGTGTCTCTCTGGTTTGTAAAACATCCCGTAAAAACAGGCCCTTGTCGTCGAGGAACTCTTCTGATGATGGAACACCGTCTCCACCAGTTTCGATTATCAATGGGGTGATTGATTGATTAGCTCTGTCAGTCTTTGAAAAGCTGGGTTTTTAAATCTTATCTTTATAGTTTGTTTCAATGTTGCCACGTTTATATATAAGAATTTAATCATATTTTTTTTCAGAGAGTCACTATGTTGAATCTATTCTTGTAAAAAAAGAATAGAAATCTCCAGCAGACCTTCAGGGGTTGGGGCCCCTCTTGGCCTTTTATTGTATTTCTTTATTAAAAGTCTCATTCCCTACAGTTTCCTAGCCGCTGCTGAAAAACAGAGCATTTTTTGAAACCTAATATTGGCAGCACGCCTCGAGTAAAAGAGAAAAAAAAGCAAACCTGACTATGGCGGCCCCGGAGAGGATGGATAGGGGGGGGGGGGGGGGGGGCAAGCCAAGAGAGAGCGAGAGAAAAAGAAATGGCAACACAACACAGAGAGCGATGGGGCAAATCTCATCCGCAGGGAGACGGATCCATTGGTGTGGTAAAGGAGGGCATGGCGGCTGAAACCTGACCTCCTGGCCAGTGCTGATGGGGCCCTCGGTGGCTCCTAATCCCAGGATGAGGTGCGCTGCAGCTCCGGCCTCTAGAAAGGATTTGGGGATGTAGCCGGTCTGTAAGCTGAAGAAAACACCGGCCCTATCGCTTTTCTCCCTCTTCCTTCTTCGTGCGGAAAGATAGAAAGACCCGACGCGGCGGCCGCCATCGCTGGCTCCCGGCCAATCAGCTGGATCCAATTTGTGACTAAACGATCTTGAGAGCTTCTCCAGGCCTTCGCAATGAGGGCTTAGCATGCCATGGGGGTATTTGTATTCCCCCGGGGGAGCCGAGGAGAGGGGGCAGCGAGCCAGGGAGATACATGAGGCCAACATTCCTCACCCCAACCCAAAAATAGAAAGTAGATCAGCTGGGGCCAAAACAAGGAGCTGCAGACAAAGAGCGCGGAGAGAAAGTTCTGTCCTGAACGCGGCGGCAGCTTTCAACGTACGGCGACCCGTGGTCACCGGGTTTATGAGGCGGGAAGTTGATGAAGAAGTGACAAACTTGGTTCCAAGAAGCTGTGCAGGAGTCAAAAACAAACAAGTCCTCCCCCAAGGAGAAAAAGGGAAAGAGACCGTGTGGATGCAGCGAGCGGGGACGTACTTTTCTTGTCAACACGGTAGTTTATTTTGAAAATATAAAAACCAACAACAGAGGGAAACACAGCGCATAAGAGCACTTAAGAATGAGAAAGTAGAAAACACAGGACAACGCTTCCATCCACAATCCAACTAAGACAGAAATGAACCCAGATAACAAAACAATATTGATACTAAAGTCGCCCGGCAACATATTTGAGCTGTGAGGAAACAATCAAGCTGAATTCGGGAAACAGCCAAATAAGGCTGTGAGCATCGGGGGGAATCTGATTAGTGAGCAGCTGCACGGCAACGCGGCAACACAACGCACGCACAACCCGGCTACACAACGCACACGCAACCCGGCTACACAACGCACGCACAACGCGGCTACACCATGCACACGCAACCCGGCTACACAACGCACACGCAACCCGGCTACACAACGCACGCGCAACGCGGCTACACCATGCACACGCAACCCGGCTACACAACGCACACGCAACCCGGCTACACAACGCACGCACAACGCGGCTACACCATGCACACGCAACCCGGCTACACCATGCACGTGCAACCCGGCTACACAATGCACGTGCAACCCGGCTACACAAGGCACAACAACCCGGCTACACAACGCACACGCAACCCGGCTACACAACGCACACGCAACCCGGCTACACAACGCACACGCAACCCGGCTACACAACGCACGCTCAACCCGGCTACACAATGCATGCACAACCAAGCTACACAACGCAGGCACATCCCGGCTGCACAACGCAGGGCACATGTGTTCACTGAGTTTGTTGTGTGCATGGAACAATACTACCCATATAAAACCCAGTCCAACTCTCCAAGTTTCACACTAAGCGGCTTCTTCCTGCTGCAGCCGTATAAAAACACGGATATCATGCAGTCCAACATGAGAGGAATCCGATCACAGTCGGCTTATGAAAACGTTCCACCCCCCCCGCTGCTAACCGCGGCATTTCATCCGTGGCAGCCGCCCCGCTCTCCCCCCCGCGGCTCAGTTTAATCTCACTCTAATTTACCTGCCAACCCCACTAATAACATCAGAGTGCTTTTTTTGGGGAAATTGAGCCCAACAAACTCCACAAACCAGCCGGATAATAGCGTAGCATCTGCTATCCTGAACAGGCTTTTGTCCTAATAGCATGTAACAGCCTCCGGAGTGGACGCATTTCTTAAATTGGCGGCTGCAGAGGTAATTGATGCTCCTTTTCCTGTGTTGCCAGGCAGTTCGGGCTTCTTACTTCTTTATGTGCAACCGTTGTGTATTTTGCTCTCAGGTCCAATGAAAATCTATACATTTTTATAAGCATCTTATTATTGATACATTTTCTTTATCCACAATTTTTGATCTAAATTGTCCGAAAAAATGTCACGACACAAGTTCTAAAATCCTTTAAACCGTCGCTCTTTTAGCGTGAAAGGTAAGAGACACGTCCTCCGGCTACAGGGGACCCACAGTCAAACCAGATGTAGAATACCTGCAGTGTGTTCGGGGTCCGCCTCGGGGGGTCCTGAGCATCCCGGGAGGCGTCCAAATAAAACTCTAAGCCACCTCAGTTGACAAGAATCGCCGGCGGTAAAGCCAGAGATTGAAACCGCACCCGACCCGAAGGGGCGAAATCCTCGGTTTTCTGACAAATTCAGTTAATTCGCTAATCCGTCGAGATTACGTAAGCGTCTGTGACCCTTTAGGGGGCAGAGAGGCGGAGGTTCGCTCTGCAGAGGACTCACTTCTTGCAGCCGCTGTAGTCGGAGCAGCGGCTCAGCGGCACGCGGATCACGCAGCCGGAGAAGGCCACGAAGAGCGCGTGGTGATCCCGATCCAACTCCAGGCCCAGGACCCTCCTGTCCTCCCCTTGCACGTTACATCTGGGGGGCACAGAAGAACACCAACTGTCACCATCGCAACAGTCCACCTTCATCTTTTCTTTGCAGTGCGACTGAGGCGGTGTGGAAATTATACAGAGTCGAACTTGATGCAGATAAGACTTTTTCAAGCCGTGCAGTCGGAAGACAAAAGAAGACTATAAAAAAAAAAAGAGCATCCCCTCAGGCGGTACAGCGTGATGCAAAGCGCTACAATAGACCAACGCGTGGGTGGGCATCAAGGCAGAACACAGAGGAAGATACTGACTGAAGGACTAAACTAGAGAGGCATCCATCGCCGTTCCTTTGGTCGATTCTCATTTATTTTTGTCTGACCTGATAATTCCAATTGTTCATAGTGGTTAATCATTAGAAAATAAATATTATACTATTACCTGATGGATGCTATTTGCATTAATGCTTCTCTACTAAAAAAAAACCCCACAATTTATTTATTTTATCACTAGAGCTTTAAGGCATCACAGACTCGCCAGGTCGCCATTCTCTCCTCCTGCATACGCCGCTTTGAGGCCGACCGCTGATGAAACAGAAAGGACCCGGACACGTGAAGAGGAAACGGGGGGAAGTGTCTCACTTGTTGGGGTTGTAGACGTCGATGTCCTCCAGCAGCTGGGTGCTGAAGGACGCGTTGGCTCCCTCGGTGCTGGCCAGGATCTTCAGCACGCGGCCGTTGTCCGAGCCCAGGAAGACCACCGTGCGGTTCTTGGACGGCCCCGCCGACGTGTCCACCGCTATCTGGGTCAACTTGAATCTGCGTGGAGCAAAAGGAAAGAAGAAGAATAAGGAACGAGAGCAGCAGCGACCGTTAATTAGAGCGCGCTGACTAGAATGTTTCTGATTAGCATCTTAACGCCGTTGTTTTGTCAAAGTCAATTTCCCGCAGCGAACAAAACAAGCGGTGGGCGAACGCCGAGCTCATTGCGCGCGGCGTCGATCGCTCCATCTCCCGAACCCACTGCTTCCCTTCCTGCATCCTCCGTCCCACGAACCCATCCGCACATCCATCCATCCACCCGTCCGTCCGTCCCGCCCACGGCCGCTCCACCGGGCCTCTTTGGGCGCCCTCGGTTCGTACTTATGAGTGAACTATCTGGAGCACCACCCGGCTTCGTATTCATCCGCCTCCACGCAGTCGCACCCGGGGGAGCTGCCCGGCACCACCGGGGTCGACTGCCGTCAGCTCCGCTGGAGCAGTTAAGGATTAAGAGCCGCACTGAAGGGCACCTGGAGTCCAGCGCGATGAGCTTTACTTGTTTCCTCCGCCTGCATTTTCCCCCCCAAACAACAAACTCTCCCCCAATAAAGCCGGGACTTTTCTTGGCATCACATCGCTTGTGGATTCTTCCATTAAAAAGGACACCAGTGGACCTCACTTCTCCTTCATTGCCTCCCAGATGGTCCCACCGAGGCTGGTGTGTTTACACACACACACACACACACACACCTAACTGGCACATCTCAATGACGTGCGTGATGCGCTTCTGGTTAGATTGCATTTATCTAGCTCGTCTCCGTGGGGAGCGGCGAGGCAGATGTGATGTTTTTGGCGCCAGATGTGGAGCGGAGGCTGTTTTTTCCCCAATGTGGGGCCTGTGCAGTGTCTGGCTAGCTGTCAGTCTGGCTCTGCTTCAGCGGGTGGGAAGGAGGCTCCTGTGTACTGAGTGTGTGTGTGTGTGTGTGTGTGTGTGTGTGTGTGTGTGTGTGTGTGTGTGCGTCGGGCTGCGTCTGGGATACACAGGTGGCGACTGTGCCCTCTGTGCCCCTAAATAAAATAAAAAGTGACAAAACATGATGAACTAAGGACTTATAATCATGGTCTTGTTTTCGTAAAAACCCTGTAAAGAAACAAGACACATATAAAAAGCATTAAGGAGCAAAAGTTGAATTTTTGGCAATTCGATTTGGCTGCAAAACATTTACTTGTTTTTGAAACATTTCAAGATGAATCGTCTTTCTTTGTTCTCCAGATCTTCCTTGTAAAATCTCCCGACATGCAAGTAGTGCTTGCGACCCCCCCCCCACGACCTTCCTCCCAATCAATCGGATGGGTTTTAATGAGGGACAAGCTTGTGTGTTCCACCTGATCTCACCCATCGATACCAATCACAGCCCCGGGGGAGGAAGCGCCGCGGCTACATCGCGCCGCCGGACGAGAGATTAGCGGCGCGCTCGGCGGTAGAGAAGAGACGCTGTACTGCAGCACTGATAATGGTCCATTGGTCCATGCTTATGTTCTTTTATGGGATATAATGATGATGTTCTCAAAGGAGCCATCCGGATATTAAGCATTCAGGTACTAAGAGGTTTACTAGTGGCAACCGATTTACGACAGGAATTATCATGTCGCTATTAAAGCTGCAACGTGCTGCAGTTTTCAAACTCAGAAATGGTTGCGAATATATATTTTTGTCCATTTGTAAATAACATTTATTGGCAAAACAATAAAATGTGCAATTATCAATATAAAATCGATGCCTCTTCTACGTCCAAATTAAAAATCATGCTGGAAATACAATCTGTGACGCAACCAGATCAGCTGACTATTCTAGTCGGTCTCAAATGAGCTTTGTAACAGAGTCTCGCTCCTACTTGCTGTAATCAACCCGCAGCCGATGCGCTAAAACAAGATTTTCTAAAGGGACTCTGGAGCACAGAAACACGAGCGCTTCGGTCCAGAACCTCAAAGCGGCACCGAGTAAGAAAACAACTGGGGGGCTAATCGGTAATAAGAACAAATGTTAATTGGCCCTTTATATATTTCAAATGTGAAGAGTGATACATTTTACTACGTGTGTGTGTGTAAAATGACACACATGCATCTGATCCATTGTGGGTCTTTTGAATGAAACCAGTGCATTCCATTAAAGTGATACCTGCTGGTGGTCCGGGTGAAGAAGGGCCGGTCGTTGACGGAGGGGACGGACTCGTCCATGAGCGGGTACGACTTGATGAAAGTCAGGGTGTCGTCGGGGAAGGTGGTGGACGACTTGTAGGCCGCCGCCGAGCCCTCGCCGGCGCAGCATCCCGGCCTGCAGCGGCAAACAAGCGGAAACTAAAACATCAGGACGCCACCGGCGGCTTCCACGGACACAGATGTAAAAACACTGACAGCTGTCTGGTGTCGGGGGACGAGCGGGAGGGGGACGGGGGGGGGGACGACGACGACAGGTGTCTTATGTCGTTATTTTTTTCTCCCTGTTGGCAGATGATGTCTGTGCAGAACAATCACCGCGGCGGCAGCAGGAAAACAGATGAATGAAACGAAGAAGCTCCATCGCGGAAGGCAGGCGAACCCCTCGGTCTTGACGAGTGACAGTTTGTCATTTAAAAAGATCTTCTCACCTGGGTTTGGGGACCTGGTCCTCTGGGACAGGTGTCCACGCCGTCTCGCTGTTCCGCTGCTCTTTGAATTTGCCGCCGAAGGCCTTCTCGATGTCGTCCATGTAGAAGGCACAGACCGCGGAGCCCGTGATGCTGTTGAAGGGACCACAGGGCGCGGCGACATTAGAGAGGGGGGGCGGGGCTAAGGGCTGCAGCTCAGCGCCGGGTCCGGCGCAACCCTCATCGTGTGCAGGAAACTGCCTCTCGCCCCGCATTTATCTGCGTTTGCTTTCATCTTTGCTTTGCTGCAGCTTTCATGAGGACTGGATCAAAGAGAACCCAAATTGCCGTATGGGTCACTTTAGAGAAACTGGAGGGCAGGATGCAACTTGTTTGCTTATGCATTATTTTTACCCTCTGAACCCTTAAAGAACCCAGAAGACAACAGCACTGTTTATCAGAGTCACATCCCCACCTGGCTTTCATCTTCCCGACGGTCCTTGAACATATCACGCGTGACAAATAACCCTAAACTGAGTGGTATTTCCCTTCACGGTTTGAAGTAACCAGATGCCTTTAAAATCTCTTAATTGAAGGCGCGATTGACGTGAAAGTGACAGAACTGCCGGCCGCCAAAGCGGCGAGCGGACAGCTCACACGCGCTCAGCAAACGGAGCGTCTCCGCGGCGAAACAGACCTGTTGGCCTGCGTGGTGAAGACGCCGAGCACGGCCGGCCGGCGGTTGATCTGCAGCACGTTGGTCAGCGACTGCAGCACGTCGAAGTAGAAGAAGGAGTCGCCCGGCACCGAGCAGTTGAGCCGGGCTTTGAGGAAGGACGTCCAGTAGCGCTCCAGCACCCTCGGCGAGCCGCCGTTGTCGTTCTTGCAAACGCGCGCCACTCTGGAGAAGACCACCTGGAGGAGGAAGAGGAAGAGGAGGAAGGAGGAGGAGGAGGAGGGAGGTGACTACTAGCGGGCAGAGCCAACGTGGAACAGCGCCGGTCTGAGAGGAGGTCGGCTCACCTTCCCCAGAGTGGTGTACTCCACCGCGATCTCGCTGAAGAAGAAGTACACGTAGTTCCCGTACTCGATGGCGTGGAGGAAATGGGGCTCTGCGGGAGACGAGGAGAAGAAGTTCTCAATTGGGAAAGACGTGCGGTGAGAGCGCGTGTGCAGGCGGCGAGAGAGGAGACGGCGCCAGGATCCAATCGGTTGTGTCGAAATGGCCGCGATCAGAACCACAGAAAAAAGAGAATCTGCAACAATTAGAAATCTGTGTTTTGCTTTTTTCCTATCAGACGCGCCTGAGATCTTCTCGCCGCATTGCAAGACGGTTTGTTCCTGGAGACGGATAAGAGGCACGGCCCGTGTCTTTTGATCAAACACCTCAACGCAACAACAACGCTGAAAGTTGCCGTTGTGTGGAGGCGACTCATCAGTCAGGAGAGGACGATTGACCAATTACGAGATAACGAAGGCAACGTGAATTACTGCCCCGCATTAAAACTTGCACATCACATCACAGCGCGTCGGCGACGCCACCCGCCTGTTGGCAGACACCGGCGCGCCGAACGAGCCCCACAGAACCGACCTCCGCCATCAACGTTAATCACCCGCGTAATGCACCGGCGCTGGAGATGAGAGAGGCTTGAACAAAGTGTGCCGCCGCCGCCGCCGAGTCCTCTTTTCTTCTGATGAGGACGCTTCCCCCACCGAGTGAAATAACCAGCAGGTCTTTACGTGGAGGAGGAGAAGCGCTTGCCGTCTTTGAGGAGGTTCTCTTTCTTCTGACGGCATAATTGCGGCAGTGGCCTTTAGCAACGTCCTCAGCAGTGTCGCGCTGTTTGGCGTCGGGATGCTACACTAACAATACGTACAACAGACAATAATTTAATGTATTTTTAATAGTTGTTGCCTTGAGTGAGCAGTCGGGTCGTCTCCTGTAGATGAGGAGTTTGCGGCTGAAGGGCGAGGACGGGAGGATGATCATTAGGAGGAGAGAATCCGGCGTCTGCATCTCGGAGTCGTCTCCCGCCCCCCCTCCCACCGCCCGTGGGGCATGGTGGGATTCGCTGCCCCCACCCCCGCGGCGTGCATCTCGGTACAATAAAGGAAAAGAACCATTCGGGACGTATTTCCTGAAACTGTCGGCTTAGATCCGGGCGCCTGGGGATTGTTGGTCAGTTTTCAATAACATCAGGGGGAGAGGGCGTGGACACTTTCACTTGTAGGCGGAGGGCGTCTCAGGGCACTACTGCTCCGAACTCGCCCCAATAGAAACTCCACTGCTCCAAATGCCC